GATCCAGTTCAGCTGCTGTTTATCTATTAGTTTCTATGTTTGCTGTGAGCTTTTTGGTCTGTTTCTGCTCCTCCATGATGTCACAGACTCTACCTGTGGACGGGATGGGCGGGACTCAGTCTGGTGATCTATATATTTATGTCTATGTCCCCTCCTCGTGTCTGAATGTGACAACAGTTAGGCAGCACTTACCCGTTCCAGGAAAAAAGTAGTTCCCATATTTGTGGAAGGACACAGTCATGACCCTGTCTGTCAGGTAGAAGGCTTCCTGGACGCCGTCGCCGTGATGAATGTCGATATCGATGTAGAGAACTCTGGGATGGTACCTGAGACAGACACACAGAGGGTTGCAGACAGAGGCACAGGCAGATCCCGGAGTCCCACAGGTACGGTTCTTACTTCAGAAGCTCCAGTATGCTGATGACAATGTCGTTGACATAACAGAAACCTGACGCCTGCAGACACACAGGAGAAAATAAGTCCAAGTTTAACTTGGACAAACTGGGGGGACGACAACTTGAATGACTCGACTCTGACCTCAAACTTTTTGGCGTGATGTAAACCTCCGGCCCAGTTTATGGCGATGTCACAAATCTGAAAAATGTTGGGCAGAATTAGAACAAAGGATCAGGAAGATTTCTGTCATTTTAAAGCAAAATCAATAATCTTTTGATGAGGCGTTCTATAGAACGAGTCCCAAGCAGTTTTCCTGTTCACTTTATGAACCAATGGAAACACAATACATAGATATTATTATTATTATGAAGCAGCTGAGAGAACATAAGGCATTCTGGGTAGGTTTTACGGCACCTCTCAAATGTAAAAGCAGACACCATCTAGTGGACTAATATGAACATCTAAAGTATAGAGCTAAAGGTAAAAAGAAAAACCATTACTGAGAGGAATGCAGAAATGTAGAAAGAAAAAATTGTATTTATAATGTATTATAATGTGGCTGATTTGTGCTCTGAGGAACACGAGCGTGAAGTAAAGTTACGTGAGGTTACAGGAACATCTGAAAAGGTTCAGACAAAATACAAAAGTGTGGAAGAATTTTTAGTCTTTCACAGAAAAAATAAGCCTTTGTTGACTGAACAAAAATAAACCAACAAAATTAGGCTGTTTTTTTCCCCTCAGACCACATCACAAGGATTAAAACAATGTTTTCAGTTTCAAATTCATTTCTGATGCATCAGAGAGGACAGCCTTGGTCGCTGTTTGTGTGTTGGTGTGTTACCTTGTGGTTGAGTTGTGTGGCTCCTTGTAAAGATGCTCCTGTGTATCTTGAGCAGAACTCAAACAGACCTGGAAACACAGGACTGAAACACAGGCAGGATCAGATCTAAGGGATGAGTTTGAACATTGTGAACCTTCTCCTGCTCCCCGAGCACAGGCTGACAAACCCACCAGTCGTCTCCCACGTTAAAAGCGTTGAGGCTCTTGGTGAAGCCCTGCATGTTATTGGGACTGACTTTCTGCAGGAAGTCGATGTAATCTTCAGAGTGGAAACGGCACATGTCGTGCTGAGAAGCTTTGTATGGCTTGAAAACCTGATCAAGGACAAAAATCTGCAGTGGGTAACGCTCTTATTTTGAGGATAATAGAAAGAAAAAGTGTCAGAAATAGTGGGTGCTGCTGCTCACCATCATCTTCTTGTAGAGGCCGTAGTGCAGCACCAGGCTGTGAGTGAGGGACAAACGGTGAGGCTTCATGGGGTGGCCGGCACCTAACACACACACGCACACACACACACACACAGACAGAGCTAGGTCACTTACACCTGCGTTATGTTTGACTTTTACATATGAACATATTTACGTACTTGTTTTATTGGTACAACTTTACAATAAGGTTCCCCTTGTACAGTCATGGCCAAAAGTTTTGAGAATGACACAAATATTATATTTTCACATGAACTGCTGCCCTCTGGTTTTCATGTGTGTATGTTAGGGCTGTGTATTGGCAAGAATTTGGCGATACGATACATATCATGACATAGGGGTCACGATACGATATATCCTGATATATTTCGATACTGTAAACAAGGCGATATATTGAGATATTTTTGGTCCAAAAATTCTATTAAATAAAAACCTCTTACTGGGGAAAAAAGACAACGATAAACCAGAATTTATTGTCTCAGAAAATTCTAATATTACAGACATACTTTTGATACATTTAGCTG